GTACTCTTCAGCCTTACATGAGCCTCACAGCCCATTATGTTGATGCAGAATGGAAACTGCGAAGTGTTTGTCTTCAGACATGTTATTTTCCTGACGATCATACTGGGGAAGTAATTGGTCAAGGGCTTAAAGATGTGCTGGCTTCTTATCAAACATTTACTGTTAATAATGCTTCTGGTGTAAATGTGCTTAATTTTTGAGTTGACTAATTGGTTAAAATCATTGGTCATTGATTTAAAATGGTTTTTTTTTTTTTTACTCTGTATTAAGAAGAATTCAATATTTACTTTCATATTTAATTCAGCTGCAAAGACATTTCATTAGAGAATTTGTTTTACATTTTTAATAATTTTAATATGTAATTTATGTATGGCATGCACACTAAAATACAATGTTTCTTAAACTGATGATTTTTCAAGTTACTTAAGAAGAGAATGTTACTTCAGTCATGTTGTTGTACTTGCGTTTAAGTTGGCTAGTTACACATAAAAAAAAAAAAAATCGAAATCGTGAATCGGTCACATTTTATGAAAAAACCTAGATTTTTATTTTTTGCCATATCGCCCAGCCCTACATACAAATAAATTAATCTGCTCTGAGAGAGACGGGAGGCGGAGGATTAGTCATCTAAGTATTGATGAGCTCATGTTTTCTTAAGTCATCCTTCAACTAACTAACATAAGAGCTGCGTGGGTATTCATACAGTATGTTTAAATAGACGAAGGTCTGCCTTCCCACTCCCTCTGCAACATTAGTCATTACCTGAAAACTGATCTCTCCAAGAGGTAGCTCTCACCCTCTCACTTACCGTCCACCTCCCATTTGTTTCTAATTATTTCTTAAACACCATATCTTCTTAACCCTTGTATCCTTTACATGCTTATCTCTAGCACATGTCCCATCCATGTGCTGTATGTTTATTGTGAGGATGCTGTTACTCCAAAATTTCAACTTCCTTTTTTTATAATTTTGATAATGGAAAGACTTGCAGAACTATAAGATGCGGTTAGGTAGATACCTAAAGTAAGTTTTTACAGACCAAAATAGGCTCTGGTTGCTTTTTAAAATTGCATCAAAAATATTTTTAAATCCTTAATATACTGTTACTCTGATTAATTAAATATTTATAGAGTGAACATTTACTCATTAATAGTTAGATGTGTACTGTATGAAGGGATTGTGAAATTTATCTTGAAAAAAATACTTTAAAATAATCTCATGATATAAATCATAAATATTTGCATCCATATCCTTAGTTTTGATGATTTTTAATCACAGTAACAGCCTCTTTTTATATTTGACTTATCATATTTGCATGTCACACATTTTTCAGCACCAGCAGTGGCAGTTCATTGTCAGTTATGTTGTTTTGAGGTCTCTTGTCCCTTGCTCTTAGTCATGGCAGCTGCCAGGAGACAAACTGTTAATGAAGTGAGACATGAGGAAAAAGTTGTGTGATATTTCTCTTAGATTTTTTTCTTTGTGTGTGTTTTACCAGGTTAGAGATGGTGCCATGTCAGACCTACAGACACAGCTGAGAGAAGTGCTGAGAGAGAACGAACTATTGCGCAGAGAAGTAAGGACACTTGCACACATGTACACTTCTGTAAGGAAAGAGCATGATTCATCCACCTTTTTTACAGTAAATTATATTGGGCATTTATTTGGCTTTGCTATGCAGCTGGTTTTCTTTTGAGTTCCACTGGGAATTCCACAGTACTTAATTTCTGATTAAGACATTAGCTGTAAGGAAGACTAAAAGCCCGGGAATCTAATGAGTAAAACACAAGTGGACCTAAGGAGAAGAGACATCCCACTGGGTGTAACTTAAGAGTTATTAAAACAAAGCAACAGTGATGTTGTTTGATGTTCTTGTAGCTGGAGGCTAAAGAGTCCAAGCTGAGCTCTTCTATGAACTCCATCAAGACATTTTGGAGTCCAGAGCTGAAGAAAGAGAGAGCACTCAGGAAGGATGAAGCCATGAAAATGAGCATGTGGAAGGAACAGTACCGAGTGGTACAGGAAGAAACACAGGTAGGCTAAGAACTAAGCCGTTCATGTGTGCATCTCTGTGTGTGTGGGTTTGTCTTTATATACTTGTGCGAACCAAACCCTGACGGAACACCTTTCTTCTGTGGACATTTCTTCTTGTGTGGACCTTTTGGGTGGTTCACACAAGGAAAATGCTAGGATAGGCTCCTTTCATCCTAAAGAATGATCTGTCTAAGTTTCAGAAGATGTCCACATACAGAGAGTAAAGTCAGAAAAATGTGTACCAGCTTGTGCTCTAAAAGTATCATGTTCTGATTAAATACTGCGTAAGCTGAATTCATGCAATACTGCCTGGGTCTTTAAAAGGGCGCAGACAGGGCATCTTGGAAGTGGGTGGGAATCAAGCAATATTTATAACACCTGGAGCTTGAGGCTCACCTTCAACTAATGTTGCATTAAATGCATGCCTCAACACTGCGGAGACTGCGATAGCACCACAATCGGTGTGCTGAAAGATACGACGAGGAGAGAACCGTGAAAGCTGAATTAGACGATGAAAAAAACTGCAAAATGTCCAGGTAAGATTTATGAAACTAGTTAGTTGTTTTGGTTTGAAACTAAATTCCGGTTTAGTCCTCTGGCTCATTCTCCAGCGTTAGTATTTGTGAAGCTATTAAGCTAATGTTAGCTTTGAGTTATTTCTTTAAATAGAGGCTCACAAGTTAAAGCTATTTAAATTGTCTTTGAAGATATGCCAACTTTATGCAGGAAAATAAAGCTGATGT